TTCTGTGCACAACAGCAGCGGCGAATCCTCTATCTGCATACTCTCTCATTAAACGAGAAAGAGGTGAAACCCGATGGTGAGAGAAGAAAGAAAATACGCAATATGCCGTCGGGCCATTTTTTCATCGGTTTTCCCGATGAAATCTTAAAAATTCGTCGGCGAGAGAACGTCATGCACTAACGTTTGTCTTTACTCGTGAACATCGAGTCCAACGATACCTTTGCACAAGGAAAGAGAGAGAGAGGGGGGGGGGCGTTGATCGGTGCAGCTCAGCAGCGTGCGTAACACTTATGACGTGCTCCGTCGACAAAACGGAATCATTTTTTATTGGCAACACTGTATAGCCGCGAAGGCACACGGACTACACTTCGCCACACACGGACAGCGAGGCACATGTGTGCGCGGCAGTGACGTAGCCAGCCATCAGCCAGGCCTCGCCATACGTTTCACTTTGCTACATGCGCGTTCCGATCCAATCCGCACGCACGCACCTTCGCGTCGCGCGCGACACCCATTTACAGATTCTATCGTTCCCTCATCACACACGGCGCTAATTAAACGCCGACCTCTCGCCGGCCCCCGTCAATTATTATTCCCCGAAGTCCTCACGCTTTTCCTCTCTTTATTTCTTTGCCTTCCTCATTTTGACGTGGCTATCTGCTTGGCCTTCCAAACAAAACGACCGATTTTTAGTATGCGTCAACAATGAGGATGAGTCAATTTTTTATCGGGCGCCGCGATCGCCTGCAATGGCTCTTCTCTTTAGTCGTCATCCAACTTCATTATCATTACAATACGCTCGACTTTTATCGATACCGTGAACGCACGTGTGTGCGTGTGTGTGCGCGCGCGCGCGCGAGTCAAAATATCCTACAGCACTATGGCACGTATCGATCTCTCAAGTTTTTCGTTTTAAAATTATATTGGCCAATAAAGTAAACGTTGGAAAAATCGTCAGCAAGCCTGCGCACGCGTAGAAAAAGGTTGCTGCGCTTTGAATAATTTATAAAGCTTTTCCAGAGATGAAGTGCAAAAAATTTCTTGGGAGGGGGTAAAAGAGAGAGAGAACGAGGCAATCTTGTATCTTGGACGATAAAAAGTTAACAGAAAGTCGAGCGAGCAAACTTTGATTGGATCAATAACCAAATTAAAATGTACAACTTGCAAGCTGATCTTCCATTTTTTACTGAGATTCTTTGTTCTCTACCTCGATTTGCGCTTTCTTTTAATTTCTATGTATATCTCAGAACTTTGATTAGTACTTTGATTTCAGAAGAAAAATCTAACGTATGGCTGCGCGAATCAAAAAGCTCGAGCAGCTTCAGTAAGTGATCAACAAGTCCTTGGGAACAAAACGGTCGATTCGGTATAAGGCAACATATATCCAATACTGAGAGGGAAGCCTATGATTACTGTTGTAAAGAGAGACATAGTGTGAATATTGAGTACGGCCCTGGGAGAACAGCAGCGGTGGCGGCGCGTAGCTTTAGAGAGAGACAGAGAGTATAGGCACGCGGCGACGACGTCGGCGGCGGCAGCAGCGGCGGCATCGGAGGAGAGCCGAGGGAAAGGAAAAAACTCGATACGGGCGTAAAAAGAGAGTAAGAAAAAAAACGCTAGGAGTAAAACAACGAGAGAGAGAGAGAGAGAGAGAGAGAGAGAAGGCATATATAGACGACGACGGCCCCAGAGAAAGAGAGAATAGTCAGATGGAGAGAGAAAAATTATAGAGATGCGGCAGAGATTCGTGAGCTTAGAAGAGAACTGGATCGATGCAAACTATAATAGGGCACCAATCGACATTCTTGCCGAATTGCCTTTATCGAAGAACGATTTCGAAAAACACGAAACAAAGCCAACGTCTATGAACAAACAAGTTTACGCGTTTATGTCATCGATTGAAGGAGTACAATCAATGCGCGCCTGCTATATATCCTTGAACGCCGCCGCCGTAGGTGGGCAAACAGAAATGTCTCTACCGTACAAGAGCGCGATAAGACGATCGAAATAATCCGAGTCCCTGCCCACCACCAAAATAGAAAAACTCTTAATCGATCGAGGTGAAACGCAAAAAAAAAAAACAAAAACAAATGGAAGTAAGGTACCATATCGATTGACTTTTGTATCGAAGGATCGTGGCAGAGATGACCTTGCAGCGCGGCTACCCTGTGTCCTTACCTCGTGCGCTTTGGCATCCTTAGAACGTCGACGGGCTGTAAGGGTGTGTATGTATAAGTAATCGAAGGAGCCAGCTGTGCGACGATGTATCACCTTGCGAGCGCGCCTCGACACTTCAAGTCTTCGCGTCTCCCTCCCTCCCAATACGCACAGCCACAGACTTTTTTCCTTTCTCTCTCTCTCTCTCTCTCTCTCTCGTTCCTCCCTCCTGTAGATCAAAGCGCATTTACAGGGTCGTATCCAGAAAGTCTCCACCACGAGTGGCGATTCTGGTTGCTTGGAGATCAATCCCCTACTATTTAGTTTATACGTAAATGACTTGCGACATGTAGTAGACAAACAAAATATTCAATACCTTTTCTAAGCGGACAACCTACAAATTGTAGCAGGGTAGCCCACGGAGGCGCAGGTTATTTTTGATTGGGCCTAAGACTCTGGATGTGCACCTCAACACCGAAAAACCAAGGCAGTTATCGTTGGTTTACCAAGAATGCTGATATCACTCGTGTTATAGGCCTACCAAGTGATAACGTGTAAAAGATAGTGTTCGTTCCTTCGGTGACGAGGTTCTCAGTTTGGACGTCACTCTGAAATCCAAACTCTTAAGTAGAGATCGTACGTTGACCAGGACGCAAAAAGGTCAATGTAACACTCAACGGTCTAAGCCTCGCCAAAGCACTACAAAAGCACTTCATCGGAGGTTGGTCCGATCCTAAATTCACCCACACCTAAACTAACGCGGGGTATTGTGCCTGGATGCTTTTCAGGAGCAACGCCTTCAATTACAAAAACTAAGTATTCATGTGCGAGATGTATATTTGGTGTTGGGAAGAATAAACCTATCCCCCGGCCCCCTACAAAAAATGTAGGGCCCGCATACTTCGCAGAGTTCTTTACTGCGTGTAGGTCGAGGTAGTACCCGACTAGTAGGGGCGAGTAGTCGGAGCTTAGTGTTCCTAGGGTGAACACAGTAACTGGATCTAGATGTTTTCGGGATGCAGGAGCTCGCCTCTGGAACTCTCTTCTATTTACTATTTCTTGTCTTTCGTCGTTAGGGATGGGAGTCAAGGAGGCGGTACGCATCCACTATCTCTTGACCTTGAACCGTAACCACTTTCAAGATGGTTAGGGATAACTGAGATGTTTTCTTTTACAATTGGACTTGGTTATATAACTGCATTCTTAGCCGTGGTCTGCACTTTTATTCCATTTCAATCGAGCTGCTAAATAGAACTACTAAATTTCATTTTTATGAATGAAGAAAATTTTATCTTTAATCTAACTGTCATAAATATTTGACCAAACTACTAGTATTAATTAAATAACTTTTAAGCTTTATACCAAAGTTAGTTTTATCAAACTTGTTATTCTTTAAATCTATATATGTGTATATAACTAATAATGAATAATTATATGTAGTTATTTTTGCTATCAGCGATAAATAAAGTTACAATAAATCAGTCAATCTCTTTCTATACCTATACACACTTCTAGCTGATTTTCTCTGTGTCGAACGACTCGCATGTACAAGCTGCACTTAAACAAAGAGCCCCCTCTCCGAAAACTGTGTATGTACACACTTCGCTAAGTCGATCTGTTTTATTGGTCGTTAAAAAATTCATTAGCTCTCGTTTTCGCAAGGAATCTTTTCAGAGAACACGATTGCGAAAAGCAAACTAGAAAGAGACTTCCTCCCTCTCCCTCTCTCTCTCTCTCTCTCTCTCTCTCTCTCTCTCTCTCTCTCTCTCTCTCTCTCTCTCTCTCCTCTCTCTCTCTCTCTCTCTCTCCTCTCTCTCTCTCTCTCTCTCTCTCTCTCTCTCTCTCTCTCTCTCTCTCTCTCTCTCTTACTCTGTCTTTCGATCGATCGAAATATTTTGTCAAATTCATAACGTATTTCGACATACATATTAGGGCGTAAGCCAGTATTCGACGAGAATAAGAGCAAAAACATAATCAATTCTGAAATATCGAACTAGTTTATCAAGGCAGTTTCTCCTTGACATTGCGCGCACGCGATATTCGACGTAATAGAATAGTAATGTAGTTATAAAATGACAGATCAAAAGCAAAGCATTTTTGATGAGCGCCTTTCTTTACCGACACACGATCCGCGAGAGATAGCGTAACTCACGAGTATAGCCAGTTGTAAAAATATTAAATCAACTGGCAGATGGCGAGCCAATCGTATATACAGTAGCGTCTTAACTCCAGCAAGTATTACTGTTGAAAGAAATGCAAGCAAGATCCAACAAGAGCGAAAAATTCATTCATCTTCTGTGACGATAAATTCGCTCGAGTTCCACTTTCAATCAACGCACTCTATACTCAGCACTCCCGTACGCTATTTTCGAACTAGCCTTAAAAAAATAGAATCGCACGCACTACTCACAGACGCACTCAGGCAAAATAAAAAATGCGAATGAGCCAGGAACGTTCGTTGATTATGCTGTCTCTGTGAGAGTAGCAATTGAGCAGCCTTCGTTTTTAACAGAGTGCAAGTGCGCTTTATGTGTATAGGTATATAGATACCGTAGAGCACAGAGCGCTCGCGACCTATGCGCAAGGTGAAAACGCGCGTACAAGATCATACGCTTCGCGTAAACGCGTATGTGCACCGTACTCATTGAGATGTATATATGCGAAAGAGAAAGACAGATAATAGAGGCAGAGACCGGTGAGCACGAAAACACACATACTACTTGCTTTCTCGGCGGTTACAGACGCTATGAGCCATTAGCTCCTCGAAAAGAGGTGATGTGTCCGAGAAAAAAAGCAGTACGTAACACACGAAGTTACAGCTTGTATAAGAATATACTACTCACCGCTTTTCAAGCTAGCCTCCAAACGCTCGGCTCACATTTCCGGGTTCGCCGTAGTCTGCGTGAATGTGTATATGTATACTCTCCGCTTTTCCTTTGCCGACGCGCGCGACAGCGTTCCCTCGTTGTATCTGCAGTCTCACCACCAACGACAACCCCCGGCTTCCTTCTTCCTTCAGATCATACGACTGTCGTCCCTTCGTTCTATCTTTCTCTCTCTTCGTGTCGATGTATCTCTCTCTTGGCGTCACTGTCCTACTCTTTCTTTCAGCTGATCAAATCCAACAGTTCCATACGACACTAATTCACTATAGCCCAAAATTCAGGTGTCCTCCTCCTTTGATGCGGGGGGCTCACGCGCAGCACCTCAGCAAAAATGCACCGTTATATTTCTCTTTTTTCTAGGCAGCGTGCCACGCGCGACAGCTCGACGATGAAAAGAAAAAATGAGAGAGAGAGAAACGGTCAAACGCGGACGAATTATCAAGCGCAACTGGCGGTGTAGTACGCTCTCCTCTCTCTCACAAACAACCAATGCTCGCAGTCAGCACTCGAATAGCACATAACACTAGCCCTCCACCACCGCACCGCTCACCAATGTGACTTTCCATAAGAGCAACAGAGACAACACTATTGCCGCATCATCGAACTACCGAGTCCGACAGAGAAAGGTTATGGCGTCGAAGCGCGTTCCATGCGAGGTCACTCTCTCTACAACTCACCGACTTACCACCAGCTGGCGCCACTCTGCGGCATAATATAGTTTTCAATCACACTGATTTTTTAAATTTTACGATTTGCAATAAACTTTTTTCACTTGGATTTCTCCCTTGAACATTTTTTACCACGTTTGAAAATATTTTTCTATTTATATTCTTATGATGTTTCATTTAATATTGTAACACATTTTCGTACAATAAATTAGTTGAGAGTGCAGCCGTTCGAACGCTCGATGAAAGTAGATGGAGCGGCAATTTCAAAAAATAGCACTCTAACGGAAGGGGAAACGCGACAGATGCGCGTCTTTGGGTATTCGCGTCGATTGGATGTGTTGCAGAGGAAACAAAGAGCTTCCGTTTTGCTCGGTAGAAGCTGGCTAAAATTGCAGACTCATGCAATTATTTCTTTGAGTTTTAATTTTTTTTCTTTGGCTCTATCTCGAAGTAATGAATTTTTATTTATTCGCCTCTCGGTGCTGTGGAGTTTTGCTTACATAAATTACATTGATTATTTAAATTTTGTTTAATATAAGTTTTTGTAAATAGATTTTATTTTCCAGCTAAACACATATAATTTTACTACAATCTACAAGTGATTATCTTAAAATCTTAATATTAATATTGACTTCATTGTACTCCTCTTCTCGGTAAGACATTTTTTACTTTGGAATTTCAGCTACGTTTACAACATCGATTATTGCTCATAATAATTTGCAATGGTTACGATCGCTATCGTATAATACATTGTAAAATTGATTCGTTATCATTACCTTACAGTTGGCACTTTAAATATACATACAGCAAATAGTATAATGTCGTTGACTTTCAACGCTTATAAAACAAGCGCTTTCACAAATAAACTTCATAGAAATAGAAAATTTAGCGAAATAGTATTATTTCGTAATAATAAATATATTTGTATAAATCCATATTATTCATAATTTTTTCCTTGTATATGCGACTAGCATACATTAACTTGTATCACATACTATATTGACTATCGTGTTGCGGGCGGAACTCAGTACGTTTCTCTCTCAAGCATTTCACTTTTCAATCACCAATTCCGTAACTTTACTTTCATCTCTATTTTTCATCTTATTCACAGATGAGTTTCAAGTCAATCGCTTTAAACTCTAATTTTTCAGTTAATCAAAACTCCTACGACTATTTGTAAATATTTCATGATTTTTAAACTTTGCTATATTTGTATTTTTTGAATGACTGAAAAATTAAAGTATTTTTTATTTGGAAATATGCATTTTTCTTTCTCTATTTTAGCGTTTGATAAATGCATTTTTTCCTTACAACTACGCATCATAACTATTGACTTTTAGTATTTTTATAGGCATCATTACTTTCAATAAGTTTGATTATATTACGATTCCAATTCCAACAAACATATCTCTTATAATTTTGATTTGCTATTTGCAGGAGATACGTCCCTTAGAAATTGAAGTCGCCGATATTTCATTGTAAAATATTCATGACATGAAGATTAAAAAATTGCAATAGTTGTGCTCGATAACTTTCCATTGTATGAATTGATTTTTGTTATCCATCATAATACTTCAGATCGATGATCAAAATCCATATATAGCAACGTCGTTTTTCTTGAGGCGAAAAGCCAAACTTTCCTGCATTTACATATCATTATGTAAGAGTTGATTTAATGAGCAAAAATTACACGAAGAAGTGTTGATCGAATTTACTACAAATAAAATAAAGTAGTAGACAATTTATTCTGCAGACAAGCAAAAATCCAATCTTCGATCAGCCTTCTTATTTGTATAGACTGCAAAATTATGTTCAAGAATTTACTTTATGGAATAGTGCCTATTAGACAATTCATAATCAAATGGAAACACAAAGAATAAATATTTGAGAAGAAAACAAGTGATGAAAGAGCGCAAATGCAATTTGATTGACAATTGCAATTTCGTCGTTTCTATAATACACAAAGCATTCGCATTATTAAAAAACATTCGAAACTACTAATAAGCGATGTCGAAGTGCATACTTCCGGTAAGGAAATCCACGCATGAATTTCACACGCACTGTTGCTTGTGAATAAAGCAAAAAACGACTGAAGCGACGGAAGTAAAACCAAGGCGAAATAATTTAGGCGGACTCTGTAGCAACAGATGCCTGATCACTGGTAGGACTAGCGTTGTTGACTGAGGCCTGTTGCGGCTGCGACTGGCTATTGTTGGCCGAAGTTTGCAACCCTTGCAATTCTTGCACACCTTGGAACAGCTTGCCGGGGAAACCGTGCAGCAGGTCGTACGATACGGGAGTCGGTGGCAAAGCGCCAGCGTGGGCGTGGGGCGATTGCAAGACTGCGATCACGCGCTTCAACTCCTCCAAGGCGTTACCTGCAATAAGTGCGCGATATCTCAATCCTCCTAGATTATATACATTGTTATTGCCGCACTTTGGTCAGTTTCACTGCAAGATTATCCTTGAAATCAGCTTGTAGAATTTCTCATTTGATCTGGAAAGTTTTTGCTCCGATGGACAGTCGTGGAAAAAAGCAAGTATTACGAATAAAAAACACTTGTAAATAACGTCAAAACGTCAAAACGTTTTCTTTTTTCAATATCAGCTATTAAATTGCCTAGAAATGCCTTCAACGATGTTTATAGACTAATTATAACATTTTACTTCTTGCGTAAGTCATAAAAATTGTTCACGTAATACTAATGGTATTTTTCGATGCGATTGAGAAATCTTGCATAACGTACAGAAATTAAATATATGCATAAATTAAATATAATGAAAGTAAGCGCATAGGTGTACGGGAAGATATGTAAGGGAAATGGGAAGAATTCAAGCAACTCATTTCAAGGTACTTTCTTTTCAGTCGATATATGTAGGTATATGGATCTGACCTTGCATGAGAATATAGTTCTTGGCGAGTAAAAGCGTGGCGATTTTCGAGAGTTTTCTAACAGATGGGCTGTGCGCATAAGGAATGACCGAACGTAGCTCGTCTAGTGCGTCGTTCAAATCGTGCATTCTTCTTCGTTCTCGTGCATTGATGTTCAATCTGACACTCTTCCCTTGCCTCGTTGTTTTCGACTTTGAAGGACAATTTCGAGAGGAGCTAGATCTGCAAGTTTTTTTGTTATTTTTTTTAACGTTAATGAACGCTTATTGAACTTCAAATTCATTGTACTTATATCCATTTATGAAAGCTGAACGCCTTGTAAAAAGACATTTCGTAACGTTGTTACAGGTATTTATAACAAGTTGCTTGACTAGATCAAAAGCAGCAATGCCAATGAGATGAAAGCAATGCCAGTTGATTGGTATGATGGCTATAAAGCAGGCTGATCCAACGTAACAGGGTAATTACCTCTCATGATCGGGCCTATTTTCGTCGGTGAGTGCACTGGACGACGGCGCATGCGAGGAGGGCGGCAACGGCGGGGCTCCGCCGGGGTGATGCTGCTGTTGCTGAAAGTAGAAGCCGCCAAGGCCAACGGCTCCCAAAGGAGTCCGTCTGCCGGGTGCGCTCTGCGCGTTCTCCGAGGCAGAGTAGACCGCCGCTGCCGTCGGCCCTGGCCCCATCACCCCGTGAACCGAGCCGCCGGGTCCTGGCTGGTGGTAACCCAAAGGCTCCAGGGACGGATTTGCGTGCGTCGCCAGCGGGTGCTGCAGCAGATGGCACGCCGAGTTCTTTTCTGCTCGTTTGATCGAGGGCTGCGGCAGGGATTTGGTCATCGCGGGGGATCGTTTACGCGCGCTTTAAATACGTTTGGCCCCCGCGGTAATGAACGGATTACGATCGATTAGATTTGTACCCGTTCTTCCGTAGCGCGAAAGCCTGATGGCCGACTTTTCTTGGTTTACGGTTACGTCTATCCAACCAGGGAATCTCATCTGATTGACTCGTGTCCAGCAATTACGAAACGAGACTAATGAATCCATTAGGAATCGATTGAGCGATGCTCGTTATTACACAGGCCGATAAAACGGCAAAAGGAGGTGGCTGCAGCTGCGATATAATAAAGGAGGCATAAAGCGCGAGCGCGCGCATAAATTGTAGATATCACATGACTAGCGGCGTGTGTAATAGATGGTGCAGCAACTCTATAGCTATACACGTTGCACAAGCTTTTATATACGCCCGGCACACGGAGAGAGCGCGACTTACGGTACTGCGATGCTCCCACGCCCAGGTCGGATGGGAGGCAGAGCGTTGCCATGGGCCCGGCTGTTGCTGCGGCTGAGGTTGTTGCTGCTGCAAGTGGGCCTCGGGCATCACCTCTCTCCGCTCGTCCTCCTCGCAGGAACTGCTTTCTCCGTCGTAGGACCTCATTCTTTGTCACTTGCTTGTCCCCGTAATGCCACTAGCTGTTTTTTATCAATTTTTTCGGTCTTTCTTGTGCCTGCAACCGAAGTGGTGATAATATACTATACCATTGTTTGTGGCAACGTTTGCCTTTGTTGATAAATGTATATCATTAGCTGATTTGGGGTTCATAATATTTTATAAAACCTGTAGTAAAAGGTACTAAAAGTTACCGAAAATGTGAAAGTTATAAAAAGCAATATTTTTTTGAATAATGCATTTATAGTTAAAAATACAATATTATAAGAATTAATAGTGATTAAGATGAATTTATATATTAGCTTCGACGGCTAAAATTCAATATTTTTTGCTGAACATAAAATTAAAATTATAAGTGTGACTTATTTTATTTAGCACCGGAAGGAATTGTGCAAAAATAGCACTCGGAAAGCCGCTTGTAATTAAAATAAATACCAAGTGAGGTATTTAATAAGAAAACAATGTGCATTTAATATCACTTACACAAAGAGCGCTCAAATCAGCATCAGATTTCCCCACAGCGCACAGCCGCGAATTTGTCACGCCACTTTCATCGCTAGCTTTACAATGGTCCACTTACAGCTGCCATAGTCTTGCAAAAGCCTGAGACGCTTATTTTTATTCGAAATCTTGCTGTTCGATCAATGATGACAAAGCGCCTCTAGCCGGAATGTTCGGCTGCTAAATCACGGCCACCATTTTATTCAGGCGACGCTCCGATTAAAAGACTACCCCCTGACATGTGCATTGTTCAATTAAACTTTACGGATTGTCCGTGACTTCTTGTCGTATTTCTTGATTTTAGAACTTAATAGAGTTCAGTGAGTGTTATGGGGAGGCTCTTGGGGCTGACCAGGATAAAATAATAAGAGGAATGGGAGATTTTGGGATTGAATGGGAAACGGGAAAGTTACGATCACTTACACGAACTGTTTGGGGGTGTCTCGCCAGACAGCAACTCCTACATGCTTTCAGCTATATCTCTCGAGATGGCGGGAGCATCGTTGGATGCTGTGGTATGGACCAGCAGCTGGCGTTCTCTGGCGAAGGGATGCAAAGCTTCTCTTTCAATAGCTTCTCAGAAGGTTACTGACCGATATTGGGCGAAAATGCGATTTTTCCAAGCGACTTTGTGCATTATCTTTTTATGGTAATTGACAACAATTCAACTTTTCATTTCTTTCACTTGATAAATTCTTTTAGTCAATTTTCTGCTATCTATTTGCTAAATTACTATTGACAAAATTTATTCTCTGGATGTCGGTGTAAAAATGCTCTTGTAACACAAGAAAAATATTTTATTAAAAAAATGTTTACTTTATTTAATATTATACAAAATGTATACAAATATAGATGTCAGTGTAAGTTAGCGTCAGTAGGAAGAAAGACTTATTATTTCACACAATGGAAAGAACATTTCATGTCGAGAAAAGACTATCATTTGAAAAATTTGAAATAAAATCTACATGAAAATTTTGTAGCAGTTGTCATTTGTAGTTAAATTTCCTAAGTATCAAAATACTATTAATTTCGCAATTTTTACGACAGCTCCATCCAACAGAATCCAAAATCATTACAGTATCCTGACAATTATTCAAAATTTTGCTAAAAAATTTAATTTTATTAATTAAAAATTGTATTTAATTCAAAACAAGTTGAATTTGATAAATTTTCTTTGCCTTAACTATTAATTTAATGAAAAATCGCTTACAAGCAAAAAAGTAAATAATAATCACATTTTTTTGAATACAGAATCGAAGCTTAAAATGTTTGAAAAAATATGACTTAACAAAATAAAACTCCATTTAATAGTTATTCACAGAAGATGAATTTTTAAAATAGACTCTAATATGAATATTTCTCCTCACTTTATCAGTTATACGAATTACAGATTCTGTCTATTCCTATTCTTTTATTCGTATGAGTTTAAAATATGAATAAAACGTTATTCGGAAAAAATCATATACCTAGACGTGTCATTTCCATTAAGCATTATTGCTTATTTTTATAACCTGTATGCAATGATGAATATTGCGAATTAGTGGAAATAAGACATATTTATTAGTCAATATACTAACAGAAAGATGCTTTTGTTTTAGTATATTATTTAGTATATAGTCAATTTTGCAAGCATATACGTAAATATATAGATTTAGATTTACTTAAATTTTATACGAATTATTTATAAATTTAATGGTCATTATACTTTAAAAATAGAGTAAAAAATAGTACATTACGATATTATCATTATAAAGTTGGAATATAGGAAAATAATTATTATATAATCGTATCTGTGAAAGGTAAAAAATAATAATTAATTCAATTCTATCATTGATTCAATTTAAGTACGCCACTGCATGAATAATCTAGAATTCAGAAATACGCCGTAAAGTATAGGATACGTAAACTATGGTACAGAAATAGCAGACATAAAAAGTTTAGAAATTGAATTTCTAAGTATGTCTAAATGCAAAGATTTATAAATATATGTCAAAAGACTATATATTACTTAAATATACCAAAAAATCTAGAAATGATGGTGACATTGATAATATAAAAATGAAAAAACCTAGTAAGAGGTTTGAAATACAATCCTCAAGGATTTTTTCATGTCACATTTGTGAAACTATTTCCACATTAAGAATTGATGTACGATGATGTAGAAGAAAACTAAGTTCTTGACATACCAAATACTAATGACGTGAAAAGTGAAGGAATATTTCGTAATTGAATTAACCAAGCGAAGAAAATATATAGCTCAGTGATAATATGTTATCAATAAGAAAAGGAAAAATCTATAGTTTAATGAGAGATTTGATTTTCTTGTTATAAAATAATTTCGAATACTAAGCTTCGCTACAGCATATACAAATTCGATAAAGTGAAAAAAGAGTTGAAAGGCGTTGAACGTAAAAGCTTTATCTAACAGTATCATCCAGCTATATATTAAAATTTTTTCAAAAAGAACAATTGAGTTATATGCACAGCGCAAACTGAATTAGGTAAATAGATATACAATGTAAGATTAAGTTTATTTTGTAAACTATGTACAACATAGAATACTTGGGGATTATTATTTATTCTACATGTTACCATTATCAAGTTAATTACAGTTTAATAGCACATGAGAAACTATCGAAACCGATGATATGATTACTCTTATTGCAAATACAAAAATGGAAAAATACAAAAACATACAAAAAATCAGTTATAGGATTATTACAATTGTAATATCAAACATGAAAAGTTTTATACTGTTAAAAAACTTGGTATCTATCTTAATAAATTATTTAATAAATTGTTTAAAGATAAAGAATCAGAGTTGCGATGGCTCGTTGATAGTTTCAAGTTGCCATGTGGTAAACCTGCAGGTATCGTTGTTTTTTTTAAGTGAATATGCCAAACTAATATTGTGGTTTTTATAGTGGTTTAGATTGAACTATTTAATAAACAGTAAGTATAGTGATACATTGGTGGATGACAACCCTGGTTTTATATTAAATTTTATAATATAGACAAAGTATAAATTTCTGTGGTAAAAAAATACACGAAAGTGCTAAAAAAAATACAAAATGACTGGAGCAGTTTATGCCGAACACCTACCATAAAAACCAAAATATAACTATTTTGGAATATGATAGTTCCAATTGTTCTCAAAAACATTCTCCGACCTACGGAAATAGTGAGCAGGAATGACCTTAAGTCCAAGTGACATACACAAAGATCTGGCTAAGTAACTATGTAAGTGTAAAGTACGTAGTTTAATGTTTTGTCTACTTGCACATAGACTTTCAGACAGCGTTACCTTTACTTTCAAACTTGCATACTCAGGTCATTGACATATTTAGCATTAAAAATCGCAGAAAAATTGTATTTAATCTATATTGTAATTGGTTTTTTTTCATTGTAAATAATAGAAAAAGAGGGTTTGATATGGAAAGTTACAGCGAGATTATCGTAAAATCTATGTTCAGACATGGTATTATACTGCATGCCAAAAAGGAGATACAGTATACCAAAAGTCATTATAAATTACTTGTACTTTCAAATTTACTATATGGAAGACAAAATATGATGTTCGTTCATGCAGAAATTATTTTAATATCTTGGAGTATTTATATGTATAAAACAAAAACAAAAAAAGGAAACAAATATTAAACTAGTAAGAAAATGAAGATTGGACAATAATGTTGATTATTGGTATATTTAAAAATATGATAAATTTAAACAAATGAGTAGATTAAATTCAATATTATCGACCATTAAAATTTCCGATCTTTTGTAAAGACAGTTGAAAAAATAGTTGGCTTCAATGTCAGTTAAATTAAAAGTTCATAGTTGGTGACAATAATACATTTGATTATGAAGGACGTGATGAAAAAAATATATGACTGTGTCGTAAAATGGAAAAAGACGCACTTCTATTCAATTACACAATTATTAAATAGGGTTAAAGGAATAAAGGATAATTTAAAAAAAGAGCAGCTTTCTACATTAGAAAATGTATATCATTACTAATATGAACTAGGAAAATGTTTGCTATTTCAAGAAAGTTATTAACGAAGATAAATTCGATTTGTATATATATAATAAGCTTCAACTTTTGCATCAGCTCAAAATTTAGAAAGCGCAGAGATAATATTTAATGCATCTAGATATCTTGTTATGGCCAGAGACAATTGAAAACAATGTTTTATGTATTAGATTATTTAGGAAATGCCAACAAATAGTTTTTCGCAGCTTTATGTACCTTTTTGGATTCTACAATCTAGATCTAGATAATGTGAAAAATCTCAAAAAGAGAAAGCTAATATTAAACCCACTTATAGAAAGTGGATTCGCGAGATATATCGAGATTTTATCTGCTGATTGGTATACTTTTCGTAGGTTCTTTTTTCATCCAATATGTGCAAATATGCAAAGTAATCTCTGGTGACTTTTCATCAAGCACTTTTCAAGATGAGATGATTTTCGTGGTTTTCCGATAATACAAGTATCATACTCAACACCAATTTAAAAATATCTTATCCATAGATATAATTTTAGACTGGTTAGTCGTCGTGATTTTGAATGCTAATATATAACTTCCTCGAGAAGTTTTATATGCTTGTTTTTTTCCAATAGAAGCATGGAAATATTGGGAATTCTTAGTCACTAAAACTCCCCCTCGCTGATCTGTCTTTGCAACGTCTAGTATACATACTGACACTTCTTTTCAGTATTACTTTGCTAAGGCCTGTTCTGAACATGGAGAATCTATATTGTGCTTCTTAGCCTATCAATCACACCCTCTTTCTCATGTGATGTAACTATGACCGCTAATAAAGGTTCATCCCGGATAGTCGGAACAATCGTAATTCTGTTGCTGGCTGACGCTGAATACTTCTCTCCGGTCATAAAAATATGTCCGATACCTCCGGGGCATAGTCGCTTACATGACTTGCCCAATTTCAGAGGAAGTCTATTTTACCATCATACACAGGTAACTATACTTTGGCTTTATTTACTTTATTCAAAAGTATAAATAGTATCAATGCTATCAAGTTTTTAAGGAATACTTTTTTTCATTCATAGTATATGGCAGATTCTACCATACCTTAAATCTATTCTGCATACATACTAATTTATTCATAATCTTGAAATACGGCAGTATTACTTTTTACAGAGAAAGTATTTGTAATCTTAATTAATTTTACATAAAACTAGGAGAAATTATGCTAGATTAGGATTAAAATTGAATCTGACGCGGAAAAGGTAAATCGGGCAGGTGAGGTCAAGTAGCAACAGGCAAATCGTATATTATAAACCATTACCCACAGAATGCCAAAATAAAGTGGATGAGATCTTAATTTAACTTAATGACATTTTTTTACTTTCTTACTGTTCATGATTAAACATTGACATTCTGAAGTAGATATTAGTTT